GGGTTGTGCTTAAAAAATGCTGGTTGAGAGGGCACCGGGAGTGAAGTTGAATTGCTATTAAGTAGGAGAACAACTGAAGCCATAGTTGGTCTTTCAGCAACATTTTCTTGAACACATAGCAAACCAATATGGATACATCTCATCATTTCAGCTGTTGAACCATTTCTCAAAGTTGGATCTAGGAGATTCAATCCTGCCCCTTCCCTCCAACTTTTCCACGCCTGCAAAGGGTTATAAATGCACAAGTGCATAAAACATCAAACTAAGATTTGAACTTCTAATATTTGTCACATGAAAGAAACATAGTAGGTATAGATTCTCATACTTACAAAACTTAGTAGGTCTTCTATGCTCTCCCCATTTTGAAAACAACTATTTCTTTGGCCACTAACAATTTCTAGAAGTAGCACACCAAAACTAAATACATCTGACTTTACTGAGAACTGTCCATGCATTGCATACTCTGGAGCCATGTATCCACTGCGTGTATATCAAAGACAATGATATTAATTTCAATATGAAAATGATAAACTCATGTTTTGGTATTTTCTCTTAATGCAATACATAAGAAAACCATTCTTTGTCCTTTCATGCAATCAAAACCAAACAAATCTGCTTGACTATTTATTTGTATAAGAAACAATTCAAAGTTTTTCTCTTTTTAAATACTTACTAAGTTCCCACAACTCTACTAGTATTGGCTTTTGTTTCATCTCTTACAACTAATCTTGCCATGCCAAAATCTGCAATTTTAGGATTCATATCTTCATCTAATAAAATGTTACTTGGTTTTAGATCACGATGAATTATTCGAAGACGAGAATCCTCATGCAAGTAAAGAAGGCCACGAGCTATGCCTCCAATGATTTTGTAACGCCTTTCCCAATCCAATTGTGCACACTTGGTAGGATCTATATGTTCGTAGTTCATATAAGTATGCCATTAAAGAAAAGAACCAATAACCATATATGATATGAATTTAGAACATGTTGAGGGCTTTGCAAATGACCAAACCCTTCAAACATATAAACTCAAATGTAATTATTTTTTAACAGAATTGAAAGCTGACTCTAGAGCAAAAACTAAAAGGCACATACCAAAAATGAAATGATCAAGGCTTGTGTTTGGCACAAATTCATAGATTAGAAGCCTTTCATCTCCTTTCAAGCAAAAGCCAAAGAGTCTAACCAAATTCCGATGTTGAAGTTTGGCCACTAGGAGGACCTCATTTTTGAATTCTAAGTCTCCTTGTCCAGAAGCACTAGATAGCCTTTTTACAGCCACATCTTGTCCATTTGGAAGCTTGCCCTATATATAAAGCAAAGTGATATGGTAACTAAATGTGAGTTTAATGAATACCAAAGTTATGTTTCTTCTCTTATTTATAACATCGATTACCTTGTAAACCGCTCCGAATCCACCTTGTCCTAGTTTATTTCCTTCACAAAAGTTCTTAGTTGCTGCCCGGACGGTGGCTAAGTCATATTGCAAAGACTCAGCCTTGATCATTCCATCAGCAGCTGCCAAAATCAAAAGCAATAAATTATACATGGGAGTAAGATGAAACTAAATCTCCACAGCAAGAGTGCACTTCAAACGCATTATTACTTACATTCCTCATTTTCCCTTGGCTTTCTGCATCTTAAACAGATCCAAATGCAGAGGAGAAGTAACAAAAAGCCAACGACGGAAGCAACTACGGCCATGATGATTGTTCGAGTTGTTTTGCTCCCATTTCCATTTCCAATTCCTGCAAAATCCAAAGTTTTGGATGCAAAAAAGTAAACAAGAGTCTGTTTCTTAAAATTTTGATGTCAGGCAAAATGGCATTAGAGTTGTCCTGTCTATGTTCATGGATAGAACCAAACTTTTGAGTTAGGGACGCGAAAATTTAAAATTTTTCATGATTTAAAATCAGTTTGCATTAGTATAATTGATATTAATTTTTAGTCATTAATCATAAGATCTAATGATTATTTAGGATTTGATCTTTAGTATTTACGTATAAAAAAACTAATTTTTTTATATTAACTAATTTTATATGCCAATGTAACACTTA